GCTTTTTCAGAGGATGGATGTAAAGTGTGTGATGCTGGAACTGACTCATGGTGTAATGCTAGAATCAAGGGCACTAGGATTAAGGATATCAGTGCTACCCACTCTAAGTAGGCTGGATAAGATATGAGATAGTAAGAGCTGTGGTCATCCCTTTGCCTTGCTTTGCTACCTTCTGCCCACCATGAATTTTTCTCCTTTACAATGCTGTCTGCCATCCACCCTGCCTTGGAGCCAGCTGATTATGAACTGAAACCTCTACAAACTGTTAGCTAAATAAATCCTTCCCCCTTTAACTTTGGGTGTCAGGTATTTTATCTCAGCAACAAGAGAAAACTAACTAAGAAGAAATTTGGTAACAGAAGTGGGGTCGTTGCTATGACATTAAATGGCTATGTGGCTCAAGAGGTTTTGGAACAGGCTTGTGAGAAAAGGAAAAGTTAGGAAAGGTTTGGAGATGCTGGATTAAAAAATAATGGATCTGGAATGCCTTGGGCTGTACTTGACAGGAGATTCTCGTCAGAACTCAGAAGACTAGAATGCTGATAGAAATGCTGCCAGCAAAGACCAGGCTCAGGAGGTTTCTGCTGGGAAGAAGGACTCCATTGGCTGCTGGACACCAGACTATGTGTGTTATACTTTGGCAGAAAGTTTGTCTGCATTTTGCTTATGTCCAAAGACTTTGCCTAAGACTGAGATTAAGTGTAGTGGACTAATTAATCTGGCAAAAGAAATTTCAAGGCAGTCTAATGTTGAGGTGGTGGCATGGCTACTATTGGAAGCTTTTAGCCAGATTTATGTTGAGAATCAAAAGCAAAGAGCCCAGAATGATGATTTAAAATGTTTTGAGTTTGGCCAGAAAGGAAGCTGCAGCAAAGCTGTGGAATGCAAAGACAGAGCAAAGGAGATCTTGATTGCTGAGAAGGAACAGGAGAAGAGAAAAGATGGTCTGAGGATATCACAAGAAGCAGGACTCCAGCCTTTGCAGCCTCAAAATTGCAAAAGTGAAAGACTTTGCTTTGAGAGGAGAGCCCCAGAGCACCATGTTCCAGAATAGCAACAGCCCAGGGAAATTGTTCCTCAAGATTTGCTTCATAGGCACTGGACCCCTATAGCCAAGACAGAAGGAAGCCTGGCTACTGCTCCAGCTAGCAGCAGACCCTGCCATCATCCATGTGGTGCTGGTTATAGGTGCATGCATAATGCAAGAATTGTGAGGTCAGGAAGGCTTCCTCCCAGATTTCAGAAGAAGGCCTGGGAGGCCAGGCTGTGTGCCCCTGGGAGGGTAGTGTGTGAAGCTGTGACTGGGAACCCGAAGGTGCAGTGGCGATCCCAGAAGTTTGGAGATGACAAGAACATGGGTCATCTGAGGAAAACTGTAAGGAGGGAGCTGAGCTGGCTGAAGAGAAAAGCCATGGGAGCTACAACCAGCAGTGCTGTAGGGCCAGAGTCACCCAAACCCTTTGGAGTTCATAACCTGCCACAGATTCTTGGAGGTGCCGGAAGTGGAACTGCTTAGATTTAATGTTTGCCCTGCTTGATGTTAGACTTACTTTGGTTCCATTCCTTGCTCTCCCCCATTTATACCTTTTGGAACGGAAATGTTTTGGGGCACTGAAGGTTGGAAGTGTTTAACTTTCTTTTTATTTGTACAGGGGCTTGCAGCTAAGAGTTCGCCTTAAATCTCAGAGGAGACTTTGGACTTGGACTTTTCAGAAATGTTGAAACTGTCAGGATTTTGGCAACTCTTGGAGATGAACTAAATACCTTTTGCATAAAAGGATGTACGAGTCTTAGGGTTGGAATGTTATGGCTTGTGTGTAGATATCCCTCTAAAGCCTCATGCAGTCATAGGTGGGGCTTTTTCAGAGGCTGGATCTCAAGTGTGTGACGCTGGGATTGATTCATGGTGCAATACTAGGATCAAGGGCACTAGGATTACGGGTGTGAGTGCTACCTGCCCTAAGTAGCCTGGATAAGATATAAGAGATAGAAAGACCTGTGGTTGTCCTTTGTTGCTTTGCTACCTTCAGCCCGCCATGAACTGTATCTCCTCTGCAATGCCCCTCTGCCAGGTGCCATCCTGCCTTGGAGCCAGCTAGTTATGGACTGAAACCTCTACAAACTTTGAGCTAAATAAATCCTTCCCTCTTTAACTTTGGGTGTCGGGTATCTTGTTTCAGGAACAAGAGAAAAGTAACTAAGACACTACCCACTATTTTAGATTCTGTTTTGTTAACAGTTACATTCTAACAGAATTTTTTTTAAGTCCAGCTTTCAAAAACACCTACTACTTCCAGAAATCACTGTCAATACCTGGCAAGGAATTACCAAAAACTTAGAAGGGAAATGTGATTCTTTGAAACTCAGATTCTCAAGTGTGGGGGAAAAGCAGTTAACAACTGGAAAAGTCTTCTTCCAGTCATGCCCTGCACCTAAACCTCTTCAAGCATCCAACAGCAATGTGCAAGCCCCATAAACATGCACAGCACTGGGACAGAGACCAGAGTGATGCATTTCTTAGTAAATAAAACCCAGAGGGCTGGGAATTTAGCTCAGTGGTTCCACTGCCTGTGCCGCCTGCCCCACAAGCCCAAGGACCTGAGTTCGATCCTCAGTACCAAAAAAACCCAGAAAGAACAGTTTCTGTTTTGTAATTTAGGGTGAGATTCACTAAGCTCTTAGAAGACAATATATGCAGGCCGGGGATTTAGCTCAGTGGTTATGCCACCTGCCTTGCAAGCACAAGGTTCCGAGTTCAATCTCTGGTACCCAAAAAATAAAATAAAATAAATAGAAGACAATACATGCCTAAAGTGCCTCTCTGAGTAAAAGCTGGCCCTTTTCCCTTACTACACCTAGCAATATGACACAGACTTGAGCCTGCACAGGAAGGGGACATCTGCAGCATGACATCTGGCCATCCAGCACACGTCAGCACATCTTGTCAGAACACTAGTGCTACCTATGGATGCACAGAAGTGACTTGCCCCCCAGATATAGCAACCCCCAAAACTGGCCTAGTCTCCTTTAAAATGATGAAGGTAAAGTTGGGGATATAGCCAGGCCTGGGGTTCAATTCCCAGTACCAGAAAAAAAAGACTGATGTGTAATGTGCTTGTAACAATTTTTGCCACACTGTGTTTATGCCATGGCTTTGAAAGTCACAGGAAAGGAAGGCTTGTTTTGTTTTGTTTGTACCGGGGATCGAACTCAGTACCTTGCGCATTCGAGGCATGCACAGTGCAACTGAGCTAAATCCCTGGCAGGAAGGCTTTTTTATCAGTCTTAAGGGATAGGTTCAGTCTCATAGGTGACAGCTTCTTCCACCCACAGAGAAGAGGCTGCCGGGGTATTTTTTACCATCCCCATCAATACATTATTTAATTAAGCCCACATCTATAACCCACACTAACCTTACACTGTCCCAGAGGTGATATCAGAGGTGAAAATGGAATTACCTTCCTTCCTCACCTCACCCTTTGTTTTTCGCTTGTTTGCTTGCTTTGCTTCTTCCCCCTCTATACCTACAGTTAGGGAATCCCTTCAGTTTTCTCAGATGTAGAGCAAAACATCCTTTCCTAGAAGCTTTGCCAGAAGGTGGGCATGACAGCTTGGGGGAGAGTACTACAGCAATAGCTTCACTCATGCCACCTAAAGTCATTATATATTGTCATTATTTGGTGCTGTTATCAGTCAAGCACATAAAAACTCAGCATTACACAGATCTACTCTGGCATACTTCCACTCGGTGCTTACCTCTTTTGGCTGTCATATGAGAAAGGTGAAAATTAACTCAGAAAATCATTATTCTTTCTACTGACCCCTCTTCTGCAACAGAAAATAGTGTTTCATACCTACATTTCTGCATTTTACTCATGACCAGCTCATCACTGACAGTTTCTGAAAGACCACTATGTAGCAGGTTATGTTCTGGACGTACAGTCCCTGTCCTACGCGAGAGCTCACTAAGGTCTTTCGGTAAGAAGACACTGAACCTAGGGTAATTTCAGGCAATGCAAGAGATTAGAGGAAAGGATGAAGGTAGCCCCATCGGGTCAAGAAATACTCCCCAGAAGCAGCGATACTGCTGGAGAAAGGAACATAATAGAACTCAGATAGGCTGGGGGAGAAAAAAGAAAAGAACTCCAGGCAAAAAGTTCTGTGTCCAAAGATCTTATTAGGGCTTCTGAACCTGGCTTTTCTAACTGATGGCCATGAGAGTTTAAAGGGGCATAATGGGCCAGGGATTTAGCTCGGTGGTTCCGCCACCTGCCTTGCAAACCAAGGACCCGAGTTTGATCCCTGGTACCAAAAAATAAAAAATAAAAAATAAAAATAAATAAAAATAAAGGGGCATAAAAATAACGAATTTACAAAAGCACTGCTTCTCAGAATGAGATCCACTAGGATAATTTTAGAAGCCCATCGATGTTCCTGGTAGAAAATCTGAAAAGTGGAGGACTCAAAAAGGAACAGAGAGATCTGGCAGTTTTTCTCCCATGGAAACCAAACTCTGAACAGTCCTGGGAGTTAACAGGCGTAAATTCCAATCAATCTCCTGTTCAGAATCTGGGACTCCAGGCAAGTTTCTGATCTTCTCTCTGAGCCCTAATTTCCTCATTTTTCAAATGGAAATAATAATGTCAGTCATCCAATGAACTGAGACACCATAAGTAAATTATCTAGTTTAATAGCTCACATATGGATGTTCAGTAAATGGTGACTGTTGTAATCACATGAAAAGAGAGCAAGAAAGATTGTACATTTAGATATGAGGGATTAATAAAGTTCAAGGTCTCCAGGGGAAGAGAGTTTGAGGATCTGATCTGCTTTGCACTTCCTTGGGCTATATTTTAACCACGGTAAATTGCTGGGGCTGTGAAAACGGAAGAGACCTGGTGAATACGTGGCTTAGCTGCACATAGCAGAACCTTTGCACTGCTGCTTTCTAAGGATGACATTAACAACCAAGAGCAAAAGTAACTTCTTCAGTCTAGAAGAAAGATGAAAATCATTTTTTATTCACTTGGATTAATCCATTGCATATGCTGCCCATAGAGTTTGAAATGTGGGGCTGACAAAGGAGCTCTTCAACAAACTTTTTCCTAAGGGGATGTAAAAAAAATTCGATGTATTACAACTCCCCACAACAAGTATAATCATTATGCACTGCAAACATGTACTAATGAAAATTCTGAAAATTAAAAACACTTTCTGAATGTCTTGGTACTAGACACTCTCAGTGATCCTTTTAAGGTCTCTTACTCAATGAGCAACAGGAAAAGCTTCGGTCTGTCACACACAGGAGACTTCATTTTCACAACTGCAACGAATCCACACAGGGCTCTTAGAAAAGCTCTATTCTTTTTCTACAGAAAGGAAAGATGTATGCATGCTATCACCCATGCCCTCATTTATTCACATTTTTCAAATAAAACATCCTTTGTGTACTTTCTAGGTATAAAGTGCCAGGTACAGAATAAAGACGAATATCACAGATAAGACTGAAACAAATGTCAACAACGCAATACAAAGTACCATGAAGATAAAACTAATTCAGATTTCCATAAGGGTGCAAATCAGTTGGACCAGGATTTGGGTAAAAATCATCAGGGGTAATGCAGGGATGTCCAAGAGGCATGGAGCTCCACCTGAGTCACACAGGTTCTGAGAATGCCTGTGACATGTGGAAACCAGGAGCTGTTTGCTGCAAAGATGGGTAGATAATTTAAGGTGGCCCAGGTCCAAAGGAGGACAGAGGTAGGTAGGCACTGGAATCATGAAGGGTTTTGAACGCCAAAGGAAAGAATGACCTTTGTTGATTACATTAGCACTACATAACCTGTGGTATTCAGACACCTGTAAAGAAGAAAAGAAAAAAGAAGCAGGATCTTATTAGATACAAAGAGAACCCATATGGCATTGGCATAGGTTCAGGCTTGACATTGTTTTTTTTTCAGTACTGAGGATTAAACCCAGGGCCTTCACACTGAACTACATCCCAGCCAAGCGTCAAATTTACTTTTTTTTTTATTATGAGACAGGGTCTTACTAAATTGCCCAGACTGGGCTCAAACATGCCATCCTCCTGCCTCAGTCTCCCCATGTGCTGGGATTACAGGCATGCGTCCCCACACCCAGACCTCTTAAAGGCTGTCCAGCATTTTGCTTCATTTCCAGAAGAACATACAAGTTCTTTTCATGCCTTAATTTATCATCTTTGTCATCAACTTTGACCCTTTCTCCTTCCCTTCATTGAACCCCAGAAATCACACAAACGGAGATTCTGAGACATGCAAAGGGTATGGGGGGAGGGAGAAGAAAATGTGATGCAAATCCATCAGCCTTAGTCACTCAGCCTTCAGAGAGGGCATCATTCTTCACTTCAATCCAGCTCTCCCTACTGGGTTTTCTGACTTGTATCTACTCACTGCTTAATCCTAGAAGCTTTTGAAGGCCATCTATGTTTTCCTTTGTGTCACCTAAGGAATAGACAGCCTGAGTTCCCAGTTATGATCTTGGTTCCATCTAGTGCCATCTTACTTTCTCCAGGGCCAGAATGAACCCAAAAACAATCTCCCCTCCAACACAGCCAGTCAGTACGCTCCAACCGAGACCACATTCTAAATGCACGGAGTCCCTTCCTCTCTCCCCCACCCTCATCCCCTCCACCTGGGCAACTTCATCCCTACTTCAGATGCGATGACAAATGGTCTGTTTCTCCCTACGTCATGTATTCAATCTCTCTCTCTCTCTCTCTCTCTCTCTCTCTCTCTCTCTCTCCTTACCAGGTTTGGATACTCCTGCCTCCTCATTCAAGTGACATTTTGAAAGGTTCATTTGCCTCTTAAAATGTATTCCATATTAGATAACAACCATATGTCGCCTTAAGAGGAGGAAAACACTTGTAGGCAAGCAGGAGCTCAGAAGGCAGAAGCTGAGGCTCCCTAGGCCTGGTGAGTTGTTGCCACGCCCACACTCGGGCTGTGTTCCAAGTTGCCCACTCATCTGTCGCAGCTCTGAAAGACCATTAACTTGCTAGCCGTTATCCAGCCGCATTTTCCACACTCGGTCTCCTGGAAAGAAGGTTACACAGCCACAGGAGATGCGGGGGGGCTCCGGGCACTGCAGAGGTTAAGGACAAATAAGCCCACCACAAGGCAGGGATACATCAATTGAATCCCGCCTAGAGCTCCTGCAGAGGGTTACTGATTCACTGTGGGTGGTGGGCAGCTAAGAAAATGGTAAACTGTGGAATGTCCCGGGGAAGCAGTAATCCAGTTCTCGAGGCCTGACCATTATGAATACTGGCCATAAAGTACACGCCGCGCCCCATCTCCTTGCTGCCCCTCAGCCTCTCACTTGCCCTCTTCTCCCTCCACGCGCCTCCCCCGTGCCTCCCCTCACAACCTCGAGCTCATCACGCCTCCTGTGTGCAGGTTCCAGCACTGCCCACCACCTGCCCGCGGTGGGGAGACGGCTGTGAGGGAAGCCCCCCCCCAGAGGTAGACCGCGACCCTTCTTGGGCTGCGTGCTGCTTCACCCACCCGTCCTTACTGTGCCATTTGCCCAGTCTGATCGAAGCCCCAAACGCTAATCCTAGTCAGGCAAAATGGAAGGGAGAAGAAAAGGGAGAAACGTATTTCACAAAGACCCCAGGTGACCCGCTGCCCCTCTCGGAGTCCCCACGCCCACCCCTTGTGCCTCAGTGGGGCTAGCGACGCAGTCAGACAAGGCAAAGGGAGCGCAGTGCGTCCGGGTCCACAGCGGCACACAAAGCCCTTACCTTCTCTCCTTGCAAGCTCCTCCCCGGCTCGGTTTTTTCCAGGGTCTCTGATGCCCCCTTCGGTGGGCGGAGGGACGGGCCGGCTCCCTCTCGCCTCTCGCAGTGCTGTCTCCTCCCTCGAATCTCAGCCCCCTCCTCTCCCGCCCCTCGCCGCGGACCCCAGAGAGAGCTCAGCCCTGACTTTGGGGGCGCAAGAGCACCCCATGCGCCCGGGGGCCCTGCGGCCGCGGGGGCGCAGACAGCGATCTTGTCCCCGCGGCGCCAACGCTGCCCAGCGGTCCAGCCGGCGCGGCGCGCTCGGGCACACACCCGTCCCCGCAGTGGCCAGGTCGGCTCCCGGCCAGCCCCATCCTCTGGCGGCGGACTAGCCCAGCCAGGGCCGCGCTCCTACCTTGTGCTTCGGCGGCGGCGCTGCCCGGCCGCTGGCTGCCTGGCTCGCGGGCGCACGAGCTGGCCGACTGGCGGGCTGCCCGGCTGACTCCTCGCTGGGGCTTCCTGTAGGGCTGGACAAAGGACATTTCCTGGGAGGAGCGGGGAATGTTCCCAGCATGCCTCGATTTGTAGTTCGCGGGGACTTGCTGCCACCACGTCTGTGGCCTGGGCCAGGCTAGGACCCCGGCCGTGGAGGAGCGGCGTCCTCCCCTTCCTCGAGCGCCAGGGTCCGAGGGGCGCCGAGCGGGTCGTGCAGCCGCCCGGAGACCACGCTGTGCGCGCCGCGCTCCCGGCACAGCCCAGGGGGTCCGGTTGGACCGCTGAGCTGTGGCCGCGTGCCGAGCGCTCTCTCCGGTGGGAGCGGCCTTTCCTTTGCAAATGAAGTTTGTGGTGGGCTCCCTTTGCGCCGACTTTTTTTTAAGCGATTTTTTTTTTCCGCACCGTCTTGACTGCTCACGGGGAGTTGAAGTTCCTTAAGATCTTGGCGCTTTCGTCCTTGAAACCACACTGATTGTGTCTAGATCCTGACCTAGTGACATTCTTCCTTCCGATGTTGCCCTTGGCAGAGGCAAAAGTAGAAGAAAAAAGCAATTGAGAGAAAATAAACACCATACGTGTAAAAACCCGTGTGCTGTCCAGAACGACCTGGGCTTTCTGCTCATCCTACCCTCATTCACCTTCAGGATGCAGCTTCCTCCTTCCTATGCGGCAGAGGAGACGACGGCCACCCTCTATTTAGTGAGTGTGTTGGGGTGGAGGAGTCAGGAAGGGGACACTGGCTACAGGAGGCTGCACTGGCAGCCTAACAAGGCTGTGTAACATCCTCTCCAAGTTCTTGTCCCTCCCTGGGGCTCAGAACCCTTGTGGGAAAACTGAGGAAGGGCCGCAGAGAGACTAAATGATTAAAAGCTGTAGTGTCTCATGGAAAATGAGCAGAATGTAATGCAGCCGACTAAGAATAGATGCGTCCTAGGATGCCAGTGAATGTGTTTGAAAAATAATCAGACAGGTCACAGTTGACTGTCATTTCCACTTGACACCTTACATTTTGAATCTTCCTGAATAAGGACATCCGAGGGAGAGGTTTAGCTTACTTTGAAGAAAAGGTGATCCACCAGACATGGTGGCACTCGCCTGTAATCCCAGCACTCGGGAGACCGAGGCAGGAGAATCAAGAGCTCAAGGTCAGCCTGGGCTATGTGGTGAGTTCAAGGCCAGCCTGGACCGTATAGTGAGACCTTGTCTTTAAAAAAACAAAGGTATTTACTAAGAAGAAGGTAGCACACGTGCCATAGGTTCACCACCACTGGTGTAGTAGCTCTTTCTCTAGTGATTCTTAACCACGGGGTAAGATGGAGTGAGTGAGTGGTTTAACTTACGGTATGGGATAGTGAGAAGTAAGACTGTGTACCTCCCAGAAGTTCCTAGCACTGCTGTCTGTCCACCTAAATCAGTTATGCTGTGATGCCTGCATTTTCTGGAACCTACCAATCACTGCTCCTTCAGTTTGGAGCCTGCTAACCTTCCAGTGAAACTCCTCCACTTTCCCAAGAAAGTGATCATAATTATTTGTTGATCAAGTAGCCTGTTAGTGTTCAGGTGATAGCCTTGCCTGTTGCACTTAACGTTGTCTACTGTGAGCACCCCCACCCCCACCCCGAAGCTATTTTCAGCCTTGCTTCTCATACCAAACCACCTCCTTCTTCCCTCCTACATTTCTGGGGGTTTTTTGTTTGTTTTTTTTTTTGGTACCGGGGATCAAACTCGGGTCCTTGTGCTTGTGCAGCAGGCGGCGAAACCACTGAGCTAAATCCCCGCCCCTTCCCTCCTACATTTCTATCTTCTTTTCAAGATACTTTTAAATTTTCAATTCATTATCTCACCCTATGCCAAGCTTGTCCCTTCTCTTTTGTTTCTATTCTAAGTTTATTATTATTCATTCATTATTTCAACCAAGATTTTTGTAACCCATTCATCCAGGCACCAACCCTACATAGACATATAAAATTCAGGAGTAGGATATCACTGAGTGACTGCAAGCTATGGCTCACATAGCTCACAGCCCAGTTAAAAAGATAGGCGGTCACTACACGGCCAAATGCTCTAACGCGGGCTTGTACACAGGTTCATAAGCCTTGTTACCTGAGGGGCAGGAGAGGGTCTCAAGTAGGAGGAGTGGGAACAGGGAGGAGGGAAAGCAGAAAATAAAGAAGCATACTCAATATTTGACATTCGGCTTGGGAGGGATGGTAGCTGGGAAGGAAGTGTGATAAAAGGAAGGTTTTCTGTTTGGGGAGATTTTATTTGGTTTTTAAAATGACAGCTTCTTCCCCAAATTCAAAGACCCAATTCAAAAATGGGCATCTGAAATGAACAGACATTTCTCAGACAAAGAAGTAAAAGAAGCAAATAAACATATGAAAAAATGTTCAACATCACTGGTCATTCGAAAGATGCAGGTGAAAACAACACTAAGATTCCACCTCACCCCACAAAGAATGGCTGCTATCAAGAAATCAACCAATAACAAATGCTGGCGGGGGTGTGGGGAGAAAGGAACCCTTCTCCGTTGTTGGTAGGAGTGTAGACTGGTGCAGCCACTGTGGAAATCAGTATGGAGATACCTCAAAGAACTAGGACTGGAAGTCCCATTTGACCCAGCTATTCCCCTGCTGGGGATCTTCCCCAAAGAATTAAAAGAATCATACCACAGTGATATATGTGCACCCATGTTTATAGCGGCACAGTTTGTAATAGCTAAGGTTTGGAAACACCCCAGATGCCCATCAACTGGAGACTGGATAAAGAAGATGTGGGGTTTTTTAATATGAAATGGAGTACTACTCAGCCATAAAGAACGAGAAACTAGAGACATTTATAGCTAAATGGATGCATATTGAGGCCATACTCTTAAGTGAAATAAATAGGACACACATGTGTAAATACCAAATAGTTTCTCTAGTGTGAGAAACTGAGTGTAAATAAGGATTAAAGTGATTAAAACAAATAATTGATAATTTGAAATAGGGAAAGGCCCAAAGGTGGAGGGGTGACGGGAGGGGAAGGGGAAAGGGAAGATGGGAAAGGAAAAATTATGAGAAAGAAAAAAAAATGGAAACAAAATCTATGTAAATAGGGAAGGGTGGAGGGGGTGAAGGGCGCACAGGTAATGGGGAAAAAAATAAGAACTAAGATACATCATGTACAGGTAGAAGCACCCAATGATAAATGTAAATGTATTGTATACCTAAAATGTACCAATAAATATATAAATTAAAAAATGACAGATCCTTGGAGATGTTCAAATGCTGAAGGAAAAGTTCTGGGAGATAGGCTGACGATAAAGAAAGAAGAGAGAAAAAGAATTAGCACTCGGCAAATATTTGTTGAATTAACAAATTCCTGCAACTTAGAGTTGCTAGCACTGTTGGGATTGAAATGAATGGACTGCACATTCCCAGCTAAGATAGGCAGAGCCTGAGACCAGATAGAAAGGACATTCCTTTCTCCCTGGCCAGGCACCGTTCCCTGCCTTTCAGGTCCTCAGGGGAAGCTAACATACAAGTGAATGAAAGGACAGAATCGGGCCTCCCCAGTGTTGGAGAAAAAAGCCTTTGCTAACTTAACAATGGGTTCAACTTCAAAGAAGTCTACACTTTTAAGCCTGCAGATTTTGATTTTATTTTTAAATTAAACAATCATTTTATCCTTGCCCTTTTTTTCCATCTTTTTTTCTTCCCCTTTCAGAGGTAGAAGAGATAAGTATTCTCATCATTACCTTTCAAAAAGGGGGCTGAGCCAGGACAGATTTGCCAACAATTTTTTTTCGGTAAAATAGTTCTGGATTTACTTCATAGCATTATTATGATGATTATTGTAGGTGGACCAGAAGTAAAATTTACTGATGGGTGTTAGAAGTGGGGAGTAGCATGGTGGAAACCCTCACAAGTACAGGGCCTACTGCCATCCAGATCACAATTTGGGATGTATTTGACCCTATAACTACCAGGGATAAACCACTTATCTTTGGATTCATCCACATTAAATTTGGTAAATCCCCACCTCTTTGAGATATGGATCTTTTGGTGGCCAGAGAAACTGAACTTGGCCCTGCTTTGGACCTCTATCACTTGCTCCTTTTCTGCATCTTGATGGGAATGGACAGGATGACCCTGGCCACTGTGTCCAGGGGATTTTCAAAGGCCCCCCATCAACCTGTCAGGAGCCTAGACTGGGAACAACCCAAAATACACATCTACTTTGAAGGTTGTCTCAGAGGTTCTTAGGGCCTTAGGGCAGCCCATTCCAGCAATGATCTGTGCACACTGCTGAAGAGCCTGCTGTTCAAAGCTTTTGCACACTGGGCAACCATGAGTACAGAAACCCAGTTACTGGCACTTTGTTTAATCTTTTTTTTTTTTTTTTTTTTTTTTTGCAGAACCAGGGATTGAATTCAGGACCTTGTGCTTGCCAGGCAGGCACTGGGGCCACTGAGTCAAACCTCTGGCCATTTGTTTAATCTTTAACATACAAAGGAGACACGTGTTATTTTCCTTAACCCTGCAGCCATACATC